GTACGGGAATTGGGAGAAATTTCATCATCGACAGATTTTATTTCGCCATCGGTTTCTTCGTTTAATACTTGAGATTCATTATAAGATGGTTGCGTTAAAGAAGTCACAGAGAAAACGTCAGAAGAGGACTCTTCCACTACTGTTCTATTAGTGGTTCGTATCTACAAACGGCTCTGAAATGTGAGAAGATATTTTTACGGGTTATAGAAAAGCTATAAATACCTTATTTTCCAGAGTTTTGCGTTTGTCAGCTCCTTTATCAAAACAATTCATGTCATCTTGTCTCTTACGTTTTAATAATAACCCAGTTTCAGAAGATGAAACTAAACGAACTTCTTCTGTTTCTTTATTTACGGCGCGTATTGTACTTTCGGCATGTCTTAGCTACTTATAATATTAAGTCAGTTTTTGAAACATTTATTAAAATTATAAAACAGTAATTCACTGACCTTCTCAAGTTCGATGTTTTCCTCGTAGTTATTCTGGTAAATCGATAACCAAAACGAATTTACTGATGAAAGCTTTTGATTAGGCTCGTCGAAATAAAGTAAATAACAATAGGTTATAATATGCGTCGGAGATTAATCATTTAATATAAAATATACTACGTTATTTGTGTGATATAAACTGATTGAGCGGAACATGCCATGCCCGTAGCTTGACAACAAACAACCGTGATCATTTGTCGCGACATGTCAATAGGCCGTACCCTATTCAAGTACACCCGAAAAGCTCGTAGCCATTCCAAAGTCACACGTAGTTATTGGTTATTCGGGTTTGTCTGCACAATCGACTTTACGAATGTGCTCTAGTACTTGAACCCACTCACCTCACCTACTATAATTTGGTTTATTGTACTTACAACAAATTCATTGATATAGCTCTTTGCTTTTTCGCATTGTTTCTTATTTTCGTGGTTTTCAGCTATATACTCTAGATTTTTGACATAAAAGAAGTGCTCATCTGCTTTATTTGATCGAAAATCTTTCAGAGTCTTGCGGTATTCCAAGTAACCAAGTAAGCTCCAATCTTCATTATTTTGGAAATACTCAGGCGATCTTAATTTTAAATCGGACATGTTTGCGCTTTGTGTATATAGTATAGTATAAAAAGTTTTGAGTAGAATCAGAACATTCGTGTTTTATCAACGCGACTATAAACTTCACATGACTGATTTCTATAGGCTGGCATACCAACATAGCGGGCTTTAATTCTGATTGGTCAATCACTAAATATATCGTCACATATTACACCACATACATCATCTGACTTTAAACGAATTGGCAGCCATGAAAACGAATTGTCAAAAGATACGACATACAAATTTTGAAACTACACCTTTTATTCTACCTACAGTAAAAATAATCCGAAGAATGGAGAAATAATCCAG